TAGTAAGAGGCCCACCCTCACTTCTGCTTATAGTCCACACAAAAATCATTAGATAACCTCCAACCCCTCAGCCTGGCTCACAGGCCCTCCTCAGGCCCCGTGGTTGCCTGGCCCTCCCCAGTGCTCTGCTATGCGTGTCCCCTCTCCATCATCTGGAGGCCTATGTTTCTGAGACCCTTCCTCATGCTTCCTGCGGCCCCAGGGCCCTCTGGGCTCCAGCCCCCCTGCAGTGTCAACACACTCATGAGCTGTGTCTGCAAGTCACCTTGTCACTCAGCAAAAAATGGATTTTCCTGTTGTGTTGTAGGCTCTGACATGCCTTTGATGTGGAGTTTAATTTTAGGAGTCTGTACTCACGTTTTGGGGGACAGACACAGATGCAAACAAGCACAAAACTGTGCCTGCCACAAGGTGGGTTATGGGGAGGAGCTTTGGGAGGCCTGTCTTGAAGCTCTGTTTGCAATGCAAACATAAGGTTTCTACTTGGTATTTTCTTTAGCTTAGAAGGTGTGATAGAGATTATAGGAGGGAGGATTAAGCTCCCTAAGCCACGTGTGGCCCCTGCAGTATGCAGGACTCAGGCAATGGCCTTAAATGCAGGGAAAATTTGTGGCCCTCACCCTAGTCATCCTGCAGGCTGTTCTGACGTGGCTCCAGCAGCAATTCAAAGCTTATGGGGACCCATTTGTTGGCCCCTCCCTTCCTTGCCTAATAGATGCAAAAGGTTGGAAAACCATTTTGTCAAGTAGGCAACTAGGATTGCCACTGAGCTCTCAAAGGAATCATGTCAATTTGTAGCTNGTACAACCCATGTATAATGTGCATCCTTATTTTTCCCTCACAAATTTGGGCAAAAAAGTGCACATTATACATTGCAAAATACAGTACATAACATATTCTGAAAAGTGACCTTGTGCGAGACTATGAAGGAAATGATAATAAATTCCATAAAGCTGCTATTATTTGGGCCATAGTCCCTGATCGAAATGCAATAAAGTTAAAAGTTAACAAAAACATTTTAACAACTCTTGAATTAAAATAAAAATTAAAATATGTAATATACAAATTGTATCTGAAGAATAACAGAAGCATCATATCACAAAATCTGTTTTACTGCCAATGCAGTACTCTAAAGAAAAGGTATGGCTTACATGCATTTATTAGAAAACAAAAAAAGTGTGAAGATAAATAAACTTTCAATTCAAGAAACTATTAAAAAAACACTTAAAATTCCAAAAAAGTACAATGATGGAATTAACACTAAAGTAGAAAGTAATGGAATACAAACAAACAAAAATGCAGTTGATCAGTGAAATAGGTATTTCAAGAGATAAAAGAGGACAGCACAGGAAAATAAAGCTGTGATATGCCAATCAATCCTCCTCATAAGCATAGATACAACACTCTTAAATAAAATAGTGTATAGAGCAGAAATCTGAAGGGCCATACACAGGATGGGGTTTTGCCCAACAAAGTCACTCTCTGTCTAAGAATCATTCTGTATTTGTTGAATCCTCAATGTATTTTCCCCTCTCCATGTGCCTGTCTCTCTCAATCCTCCCTGCCCCCATCCCCATCTTGCTTCTCTCCCTCTGTCTCTCCCTTTCCCTCCTCCTCTGTTCTTCCTCCCTCTCTCCCTCTTCTTGTGATTGTCTATGCATCTATCTATTTTTCATCTTTTCTGGATTATCTCTTCTGAGCATGTTTCTCTGTGAGTCTCTTGGCCTTTCTTCTAGAATCTGTTTTTTTTCTTTAGTTTTACATTTTTCCTTTCTTTGTGTCCAGACGTTTCTATGTCCTTTTTCCATTTTTTAAATCTTTTTTCCTTTTCTATTTTTCTCCCTGAAAATAAGTAAATGTTATTATTTTATTAATTGAATGTGCTCCTTGATCTTAAATTTAAATTAAGATGAGTAGACCATTTTTATAGTATTATCTTTTAAAATTAAATTGGGTGTTTATTTTTAAAAATTACCAAATTAAGTTCGGCAGTATATTAAAAAACATCTCAGTATGTATTCAAATTTAGAAAAAATCTACCATTTAAATCACTTTTACTACAGTGCAAGAAAAATCACATAATTATTT